TTTTGCATGGGTCCCGGGGGGGGGGGGGTCACATATGAGCTGGTTTCCCAGCACTCCCTATGCTTCTGTCTGTATGTTGGTCCTGCCCCGTTTCACACCAGTGATGCATATTAGTTCCCTATTGCCGCTGTAACACATTACAGACTTCAAGCGACTTAGAGCAATGCGCCTGTATTACCTTACCGCCTCACAGGGCTAAGGACAATACTTTCGAGAGAATTCTCAGGGAGAATCTATTCTTTCAGCTTCTAGAAGTCAAAGGCAAGCTTTAATAAGTCATAAACAATGTATCACTACAGTCACCCACATTCCAGGGTTGGTGGGCCCGCCCTTTCTGTCTTCAAAGCCAGCAGTGAAACATCTTCTAGTCTCTTTACCCCTGCCTCACTGACATTTATAGGAAACCTTGCGGTTATTTATATTGGGCCTGCTTGACAAACCACGCCAAGGTCCCTAATCCACAGTCTTGGGTTCTAAGAATTAGGGGGCAGACATTCTGGATGGGAGGCTTTATACCTACTACAGAGTAGAGGGCCCCATTTCCTAGCCTTAATGATGGCCTTGTTCTGCAACCACAACCTCCCTTCCTCCCACTGCCTCACAGACAAGGTCTGTTGCTTTGTCTAGGTCTCAGGGCTCCCTGCCTCAGTCTGGTTTAGTTCCCTCCTCACACCTTCAGTGGGGCCTCAGCTCGACAAGAGGCCCTTTCCCTTCCACCACGCCCTCCTCCCCCCACACCCCTCCTTACACACTAGCCCGGCCTCCCAATGGATCTCTAAAGGAGAAACACAAAGAGTTATTGCCTTTTAATTACACATGCTATTGTAGCATCTATAAGGAAGAACATTTTAAGCTTAATTGAGACCAAATGTGAAGTTAAATTAAATGAATAACTAATTAACGTAATGTTCCCGCATTAGCCCCATGTGAGTACAGAGGCCTGAGAGAAGACAGTTACTAGGCCTCTGGTGAACAGACTGTGCCCAGAGGTGTGTGTGTGTGTGTGTGTGTGTGTGTGTGTGTGTGTGTGTGTGTGTGTGTGTGTGTGTAGGGGGTGGTGCAGAAAACCTGGCCTGGCAAGTGAGTGCAGAAGGGTGCACCTGGAGAGGGGGTGTCCTCCAACCTTGTCATTTTTCCCAACCTTCTTTGTACACCTGCAGCCTAAGCTGCCCTGATTTCTGAGGCCCTGCTCTGGGCTCCCACAAATCTCAAGTGTTCCAGTGCCTCTCTTGCCTGCCTGGAGTGCATGGCTCTGCTCCTCATGCATTTTTCCCAACCTTCTTTGTACACCTGCAGCCTAAGCTGCCCTGATTTCTAAGGCCCTGCTCTGGGCTCCCACAAATCTCCTCATTTCTTCCAGTGCCTCTCTTGCCTGCCTGGAGTACATGGCTCTGCTCCTCATGCCTCATTCCTAGAGGAAGGTGTGACAAGATTCCTATGAGCTGCTTCTCTCTGCCGCCTCGTCATACAAAGCCCATGAACTCTTCCTTCAGAAGCCGCCACGTTTGAAGCCACCAGGATCACCCATGTACTTTTTTGCTTGTATTGTTTCTATTTTCAGATTCTGTTTTATTTGCTATGGAGATAAGGGCAGCCAGTGTGATCGGCACTATCTCTCTTCACATCAATGCTATGATACAAGCAATGTTACCCTTGTTCTAGATGAGGAAACAGGAAGAACGTAGTGTAATGAGGCTGGGAGGGAGATGGCCTCCAAGAAACACTCCTTGGATGCTGACCTTCAAGGGATGCTGGGGAGGAGTCTGAGAGTCAGGAAAGCTCACAGGCTTCCTTCTCTGAAACAGAATGGCAACACCTGCCCACCCTAGACTCTACCACGGGATGGTATCACCATCTAGTGGTGTAGAGAAGTAACACAGCTTCGCCTTAAGTTTGCCCCTTCCACATAATGGTTAGTTAAAATTCTTTCTAGTCTAGAAAGATTTCGTGAACACTGAGCAAAAATACCATGTGTCAGCCCCTGCCCCCCTACCAGGTCCTGAATATAAGAGGTTCCTGACTGACTGCTTCCTGCAGAATCAAAGTGAGGATCAGACATATGAGCTTTATATTTTACTGCTAAGGCCAATGTGTCCAGCTAACATACTGACCAACACAGCATCCTAGTAAATGCAATGACTGTATCCTGTATCCCTGGGGGTCTAGGCTCCTGCTATGTTGCATGTGTTACCAGTGTCATGGACATGCCTTCTGGGAATTCCAGCTGCCACAGCCCCAGAACACCAATCTCTTTGGTCCTGTGACATCTCTTCCCTGCCCCTCGTGAGCCCCACAGCTGCCGCTATGCCAGGCCCCACCAAGGATAAGCACAGGCACAGTTGGCAAAACAAATCTGTATTGGTGCTGATGGGCATCTTAGAGGTCAGGTGGAAATGCCAGGTGTCAGCCTGGCATGTCATGATGGAGGACTCAAAGTGGAAGAAGCATGTGCATCAGAATACCAGGCAAGAGGGTGGCTGCAAGATGGCTCCAAGCAACCGCTACATAGCAGCTACTTGGATGAATCAAGTGGTACACTCATTTCTTGCTAAACTTGACACCTATGCTCAGTGCTAAGTCATTTCTGTATCCATTTTCTTGTTCATTCCTACAGAAGAGCTGCCATGCAGTGAGCACCCGGTGCTTAACACACACTGGTATTTTCAGTTGTGCCCAACACCCCTTAGTCTTCACAGTACTGACCCCAATGTCTTCACCCACTGAGGCATCTTCAGGGGGAAGCGATGGATATGCTCAGGAGCAGAGTGAGTTCCCCCTACATTCAGTACTCATGGCAGCTCCCTTGCTCCACTCTAGCCTTGGCTCTACAGGAGCAATGCTAATGCTTCAAAGTGGCTGAGTTACCAACAGGATAGTTGGCCTTTCTGGCACTGCAGCTCTCCCAGGCTGGAGGATAGATAAGAAGGTCCTACTTGGGGAAACACATACAGACTAGTTCATAGACAAAGGGACAAAGAGAGGCCCAGCACCTTTGAAACAAGGTGAGATGCCCCCATAGGTACAGACCAATTACAGAGGTTATAATTTAACATGGGAAGGAGATAGGCACCTTTTCTAGGCCTTGGTCCTTGCTTGGGATTCAAACAAGCAAGAATTTGAACATGTCTTCCCTTCTGCTTTCAGCCCCAGCCCTTCTGGTTGCAGCTCCCAGAGCTCAGGCCTTGAAGTCTTCCATTTTTCCAGGCATGGTGCTCGGCAGTCCCTTCCCATAGTCTTCTGTACCCTTAGTGGCAGGATGGGCTTGGGCTGAACTGGTTGGATCAGGAGGCTTTGCCTCACCTTATGATGGAAGTTTCCATTCTCTTGCTCATGGGGAGCACTTTGGGTACCCAGCAGAGACCCTCCATGCTGCTCTTCCAATCGAGGCCTCATATTTCTTCATATCTGCATGAACAGGAGAGATGAGACAGAAGGGAAAGTAAGACACAACTTAATAAGCTTCTGCCTTTCATGTGGACTGTCTGTAATTAGGGTTCCCCTTTACTTCGTGGGCAGGCTCTAACAAGCCAGAATAATATGGCACACAAAGTGTTTCTGCCACATGTGGGCACTTCACAAAGCGTCAAACCAGGTAAGCCACCTTCTCAGAGTCTCAGACCAACCCTAGCAGGCATTTGAGGGAAACATCCCCATTATGTTCAACAATGCAGAGACTGAGGAGTTTGCCAAGTCTTAGAGGTGAGTGTGCAGAGAAATCAAGGATGTCCAGGGACTTGAGGTTCTCGGCCTAGAGCACTCCCTGCCCCAGTAGATCGCTGTCCATTTCTTAATGGGCCTTCCAGAAAGAGCCAGCCTGAAAGAGCTGCAGTTCCCTGAAAGGCCAGCTATCCCCACAAAGCTGGGTTCAGTTTTCGGTTCTGCCAGGACTGCCCCCCCCCACTTCAAATGAGAATGCCTGCCTCTCAAGGTGGCTGAGATGAGCCACAGTGCCAAAGGCTGGCTTCCACTCCAACTCATTCCACACTTCCCCCGCCTCTCTCTGCTTTTCTACCTCTTCCAGGCTCCCTTCAAGCCTAACCCTGAGAATATAGGTGAAAGGAGATAAATCCCTGTCCAGTCCTCTGCTCCCCTCCTCCAGGGCAGGCCATGGCAGGACAGGTCCTGAAAATGCCTCCACTTACAGTCCATGAATGCCTCTACTTTTAGTACTGCTTCCTACTTTCAACCTTTCTCTTTGTATGGTGCCCTCTTAAAGCGGAAGTACTTCCCCAGACACTGTGCAGTTTACCAAGACCCCAGGAGGTGGTTCTTCATGTTTACCATCCAGCCCAGGTCCAGGCTTTGTCAGCTCCTTCTTATTAAAATACTTCTGCTAGAAGGAGAGCCAGAAAGGCCCCATGGACAGTCGCCCAATCACCAGCACCACAGCCTCTGGCCAGCCGCTGACTTCATCACTGACCTATGCACCTTCCATACCACCACCACTGGACACCAGGCAGAAACCACACCAGGCTAGTTACTTTGATTACAATTTGTTCCAGAGGCTTTGATTTCATAGATGATGTTTCCCCCCCCCAGGCTAGTTACTTTGATTACAATTTGTTCCAGAGGCTTTGATTTCATAGTTGATGTCCCCCCCCACACACACACCCCAGGCAGAGGGGGCAGGTGACTTTGATTTCTGACATTTAGGAGGCACCTGCAACTCAGCCTCAGTTCAGAGAAGAAAGGATTCTGTATCTCTGCCCCCTTTGCCCTGCAGGTGTGTCCAAATCCCTCTGTAGCATTTCAGACCCCCTGAGAAACACTTCCCAAGCACCATGCTGACTAGCTGGAACCTCCAGGTATGGCTCCCAAGGAAACAGAGAAAGCTGGGGCTGGGGGGAATCACACATAGGCGAGGAGAAGATTCACAAGCGGCCCACATTCTGATGGCGTATTAGTCAGACTTGAAGAAAATACTCACAAACTCATGGGACTTGAGGAAAATACTATCGCGGGTGGGTAAGGGCCAGATTAGAGCTATGGAGACACACGGGGACAACAGAGGAAAGATTAGCAGGTTTGGGGTGGGATGGGGTCCAATAGCACATCAAGGGGCAGGAGTTGCTTCGGTGTTCCTGAGGCCCAGAATGGACCAGCACAGATGGAGTACAGAGCACTGGGTAGAGCCCCAGAAGAGAGGCTAGGAGCAGGGCTTGCACTGCCAGGGAACTCACCCACTGCTTCTGCTCCGGGACATCTTCCAGGCCAGGATCTCTTTGTACACCAACCTGCAGAGGAGCTGTGGGGAGTTCAAGGCAGAGAGGGAAGGGAAGACACTGTGATCTTCCATGCTCTCTTGATCATGGGACAGGTGGCTGAGAAAAGCAGCGTTCCCCCAGGAAGACATTCCGAGTAAAGGGCAGCTGCTGTTTGCTCACTGTCCCAGAGCCCTAATGTTTATCCCAGAGTTCCAGTCTGTAGACAGAAAGCATTCCCCAGTAGCCATCTATGGACCCCAGGGACTCTTACCAAGCAAGCTAGGATGTCGGCAGAGATGAGCATGTAGAAGACGTTGTTCCAGCCAGTGGGGGAAATCAGGCCAGCCAGCAGGGGCCCCAGGGCCGCACCTATACACAACAGTCTCATGACCACCATGGGAAGTGCACCTAGGGGTCCACCCAAGACAAGACTGGGGTTCAGCTGCCAGGAGCCAAAACCAGTAACAAACCTATGGAGCCGGTGCCGTCGATGATGGCTGTGACAGTGGAGAGGGCCTTGGCGTTCCCCTTCAGGCTCTCATGTGTGCCCTGGGGAGACAGAGTAGGGTGGGACAGTCCAAGCTGAACCACTGGGTAAAGTAGCACTGGGAGAAAGCTAACTTGAGGAGGGTGGTGATAGGGACCTGGGGTGGAAAGGAAAGAGCCCATAGGGTTCTGCAGGAAAGGGAGAAGGGGAACTAGACTTGTAGACAGAGCCTCCAATCAAGCTCTCAGACTGGCCTGATACCCAGGAGTGGTCCACTTACCAGGTCAGCAGAGACTGCTGTGGTGATCAGTGCATATGGACCATTGACCAGGACCCCACAGATAATCAACATCACTGGGAAGACAGCAGGGATGGTATTCTTAGAGATGAGGGGCTGTGTGCAGCCCCATGTCCAGAGCAAGCAACACTCCCTGGCCCTAGCCCCACACCCCTTCATGGAGCTCCCCAGGCAGAGCCTCTCTGGTGACTGGGATTCACACCACCTCCTCACCTATGGAGCTGGCTATTCCATTCTGGCCAATGTAGTTGTACAGGAACATCTGAAAGAGGGAGGAGATGGTTGAAGCCAGTTTCCCTTTGCTGGGCTAGACCAGTCTGCAATTCCACATATCGCTTGTTCTTCCTGCCTTATATATCCAGACTTCTCAAGTCTTTGTCAACCATGGTAATCTTTAATTTCCCTTTTGTTATTTTAGATGAACGTCATGCAACACAAGCTGTCCTGAAACTCACTCTGTAGCTGAGGGAGACCTTGAACTCCTGATTCCCCTGCCTCTACCTCCCAAGCGTTGGGATTATAGGCATGTACCACCAGGTATGGCTGTATAATTTCCCATCCTCTCAAGTCTTCTCTTGTGTCTGTCCTCAATCTCTTTATTGTTCCTTGGTTAAAACATGTATCAGCTGGTGTCCCTCTTTTCACAGGACCTGGTCCTCTGCTGACTCTCATTGCTCTTTTTCCATGTGTCCAGAAATACACATGCAGGTATGTACAAAGAGACAGCTATGTATGCAAATGTACAGGCGGACACACAGGTATGAGGCCCCAGACACCTGATCATAAGCATATGTACTCTGAGATTACACGTACCATGGGAGCAGCCAAAATCAGCATGATGCAGCAAGTGGTGGCCCTGCCATTGGTGTAGTCACTGATGAGCCCTGCCATGATGCCACCTGGAACACATGCTTACTCACACACTGTCCCTGACACAAACATGCTGTTACTCATCTGCTGCCCAGTTTTGTCCCATCACCCTGCCCCATGCTGGCCTAGTCTTAAGAAAGACCATCTCCCTCTGCAACCCTCCCCTGCACCCATCACTCCAAGAAAACAAAGCACATGGACCACCCCACCTCACAGGAACAGAAATGAGAATACACCAGGAGCCGTTTTTTCTCTGGAGCCACTGTCCAGATCATGGCCTGCTGTCCCTTCTTTCTGCAAGCAGGAAGGCAGCCTGCCAGAACAAAACGACAGGGCCTCACCTATGATGCCACCAACATCGAAGAGTGTGGACAGGTCCCCAGCCTCCTTGGCACTAAAGTGAGCTATGGAAAACACAAAGAAACATGATCAGACACTCCCGGAGGTTTGGAGCAAAGCTCCTGAACACCACAGCTGGAAAAGTCCCTGTGGGACATTGGTCTAGCCCAAGGAAGAAGCTGACTTGGCCAGGGCCATAGGGTAAGTTTGCAGTAGCTTGGGATATAGTCCTCTGGGCTCTGAGTCCTAAAATACACTCTTTCACACACAGGCTAGACCTTTCAGAGCAAGTTGTCTCCTACAATCCTGGTGTGCCTCTAGCTCTTTCTCCTGCGAGTGTAAGGTTCTGACTAAGCTTCGTCCCAACCAGCCATTTCTATGATTTAATGACCTAGAAGAAAGCTCCACAAGGGCTCTTTCTAGGCAGGCCACCTTAGGTCTGTACTAATGCTACAGCCACAAGAGGAAGATGGGGACCCTAGGTTTGGACAAGGGAAACATCTAGAAGCCTGACTTGCAACTCCACCCTCAAGGCTGATTCATACTCTGAAGTCAGCATCAAAGCCACAAGACAAAGGATCAAAACACCTACAAAACTGCCCTAATACTCCACCAGTATCAGAGAGAAGTCCCCCCACCCACATGTAGAGCTATGGGGCAAGACACGGTTCAAGATCTGTCAGTGACTAATCCCCATGGTTTCCTGGTCTCCCACTTAGAGTAAATGTGTGTGGGGGGGGCAGGAGAGCCATTGTTCTTTTCAGAGTTTGGAAAGAGTGAAACAGCCCTGGATGAAAGGTCCTGGATAAGGGGTGGGGCTCTCAGAATCCTGGGGGTCAGGAAAGCAGAACATGCTGCTTTTTGGTGTGTTACCCCATCAGTGGCAAAGCAGAGACTCTGAGCAGGAGGAACTCAAACAGCCCTTCCAATCACAGCAGTGATCTTTCTCATCTTTACGTCCTTGGGTAGTAGCACTGAGAGTAGCCACTGAATTGGGGCAGCTCCCCCAGTGCAGCCCAGAAGACCCCAGTACAAAGACATCATTCTCATGATGGCCCTTGGAGGCCATGGAGTAGGAAAGCTCATACAGCTTCTTCCTTGAGTTGGTGTTCAAGGCAGACTTCCAACCACCTTTGGCCAAGCAGTCCACACACAGGCTGGAGAAAAGAGGATTACAGGACAGAGCTTTGTGCTCCTAAGGCCCAACTCCAGAGGGACAGGAGGTTGGAGATAGTGCATGGGGCTCAGCATACTACTTAATGAAGTAGCCAAGCAAATCTCCCAGCCTAAGAGAGGCCCAGCCTTTCTTGGATTGTGTACTGGAATCAAACCCAGGTACGGTGTCCTCCCTGCACCATCAGAGACCCTTTTTCTAAGCTCTTCTTCCCCTTGGACTCACCCACATTGAAGATGTACAAGGGCAGCCAGTAGAGGAAGGTGTAGCTGACCAACTTGGCAAATAGCAGACATAACGAGAACTCGATCACACCCTAGGCAGCACAGGAGAGGGCACAATGTAAAGGTGATCAAGAGATCCCTGGTCCAGTGGAGGTCCCACAGGTGGCATAGCAGTACTCCATGACTGTCACCATGCCCATACAAAGCAACTTCAAACATACACCCCATCCTAAAGGCAGCAATGTGTCTGATGCTTCCTGTCCCGTCAAGGCAGTCCTCCTATACTGCTCTTCCCATGGAGCCATCCTACAGTCTGTACAGAAATCCTTGAAACCACCTGAAACCCACACACACCATCCCCTAATATTTAATGGAAGACCCTAGAGAGATTCTCCTCCCTTCATTCCACGAACATCTCACCGGAATTTTGAGTGCCCCCAGAAAACTGATGGCTGCAGGCTCAGAGCCATGTTCCTTGGAGGAGCTGGCTACAATGTCCACGTTACTGTCCCTGCGGGAATAGGGATCAGTCCCAGGATCCTCAGGGTTGTCCCGTTCCTTCTCCAGGTCACTCTGAGAAAAGGAGAAGATCCCTCCTTGAGGGCAGGGCCATGTACCAACCTTCTCTAATGGGAAGGATGGCCCAGGTGAGAGGTGGGGGCGCCCATCCTGGGGTAGGTGTATGCTTCTGTCTTGGGCTGGTAGGCCCATCAAGTTGTGGGGCAGATAACCCAAGGGCCTACCACAACCTGTACTGTCACTAGAGGGCCACAGCTCCCTCCTCCCATGGTCATTTCTTTCGAGGAGGGCAGGGCTCGGGCTGAATGGTATACTCACATGGTGCTGAGGAGGGGTACAGTCCACATCTTCTGGATCTGGGCAGAGGTGGGGGGGAAATACTTTTCTGAGAAGCTTGCCAATAGGTTAGCCCCTCACTTTACAGTGGGTGTAAGCCAGTGCAGAGCTAACCCCACATGTCCCATGGCCCCAGCACTAAGGGAGCAGACTTTATAGGCCAGCCTGCTTCTTCTAGGAGCATGTCTGCTCTTGGACTAGCAGCAATATACCTGGCCCTGCCAACTCAGGGCTGTCTGAGAACAGGAAAAAATGGTAGTGCCCTGAATGCAGGAGGCACAGCCTCTAGCAGAGCACCCACTATGGACAAAACATTTAGCTACATCGTCCCTCTTACACCTTCAGAAATCCTTGGGAGCAAGTACTGCTATCACTTTACAGACGGAAAAAAAAGAGTTTCAGGGTCACAGAGCTAGTCACCCAGTACCCTGAACAGCAATGCTCACCGAATATCCAGCTGCTTCCTCCAGTAAACAAACCTTATAGGGCACAGGGGTGGGGTGGGGTGGGGAGGGTCCACTCACATTCAATAAGAAAGAGGAAAGTAACGATGCCCATGACAGCGGTGATAATGCCAGGCACGATAAATGACAGGCCCCACTGCTGGTTCACCCAGACTCCAGCGATCAGGGAGCCCAGAATGTTGCCCACAGAAGTGTGGGAATTCCAGATGCCCATGATGAATCCCCGTCTAAAGAGAAGGGATGGAAGAAAAGAACCTGTCCAGCCAAGCTTAAAAGGCTGGCTGCCTCTAGCGTCCAGGAAGCTCACACAACTGAGATTCTCGGAGACCCTAAAGACAGCACAGAGAAAGCTTCGGGCTGCTGTCAAGCAGGTGTCAGCACTGCTTGGAGGTCAGTTGCTTCAGCCAGGCAAATGCAGATGGGAACTTTGACCACAGGGAAATCGTGAACCTTCTTCTCTTTTGACCCCCATCAATATCACTCTAAAACAGTAGTCTTCAACTGGGGGTGATTCTGCCCCTCAGGGAACATCGGGAAATATCTGGAGATTCTCAATGGCCAAGACTTGAGTTTTGCTGCTGGCACGTGGTGGGGACATGCCATGCACACTGCAGAAACTGTGTGGGGGCAGCCCCCATAGCAAAGAACCAAACAGCTCAGACCAACAGTGAGGAAGGTGAGAAACTGAGGCAACCACACACAAAAGCCAATCCAAGAAAATAGCTGTGGGGCCCTTTTGCCGTCAATCAAAAAATTCAAATACAGCTGTTCTGGGAAGCATGTCTGCTCTATGGGTTAGATCCTCAAGGTGAGAAAAACAGCACTGCCTTTTAGCCCCAGAGCTGTTTCTTCTCAGAGGGTGAGACCCAGCAAGAAGACACATCTTGTAATCTTTTCTCCTCAAAGTATCTAGACACTGCCCCCTCCCACCCCCCTCACAACCCCATCCTCCCCACTCCCTCCCTCACCACACTCACTTCCCCTTTCCAAACCAGTTGCCAACACAGGTCACCACAGATGGCCAGCCCGTGGTCTGAACAAGTCCATTGCAGATCTATAGGAGAAGGAAGGGAAGGTGAGAGTGAGATCAAGCACCCTGGGTAGAGGAGGTTCAGTTGTCATGGCTGAGGAGCCCTCTACACCCTACACTGCAAAGCCACGCCTTTCCCTCACTTGTGCGTCCACACACCAAGTCATGAACTGGCTTCTCCTAGCTCAAGGTCATGTGAGCTGAGACCAGACTTCTTGTGCATCTGAAGCAGCTTCAGTGCGGTGCCCAAGGCAGGCTTACTGTGCCAGTCATTTGTGACTTTGGGGGATTAGGGCCCTGAGAGGTGTGACAGAAGGAGCTTGGGACTGTAGTCCAAGGCAGGCTTACTGTGCCAGTCATTTGTGACTTTGGGGGATTAGGGCACTGAGAGGTATGACAGAAGGAGCCTGGGACTGGAGCAAGGAGACCTGGGGATGGCCGGGGACCTCAGGGGACCTCTCTTTAAGTGAGCACAGACCCAAGTGCAAGTCAGACTCATACCTGGATAAGCACAAAGTACCAGAGCATGTGGATATTCCAGAAGTACCCCAGGCCAAAGAGGGAGGTGAACAGGCCGCTGAGCACCATGCCGGCTGAAAGGTAGTAACGGAGGGGCAGCCGCTCCCCAAAAATCCCACTGGAGAAAAAGACGGGTGAACTCCAGGTTACTGCTGTGTTCATTCTACCACCTCCCTCTCCCATCATGTTGCTGAAGCCACTGTGGTCATGGTGACCAGTGATGACCTGTGTCTCACTGCATCCTATGACTGACCCCAGTCCTCACTTTCAGGGCTTCTCTGCTTTATCTGACACTACTTTGACAATTCTGCTGCCCATGTCCCTCCCTGCTGGCTGACCCCTCCTTGTCACTTTTTTCCCTTCCAGCACATCCTCTACTGTTTGTGTTCGGTTCCCATATGTCCCCTCAGGCGTGTGGGTCAGATTCAGATTGCCTTTTGGGTAGCATTATTTGGATGTCCCTAAAGCAATGGAAACGCAACATTTTAAATTCTAACTTCTTCCTCCTCCTTTCATCATAGAAGCCTCTGGAACACCAGCTACCCCCAAGTTCAGCAGCTTATGCAGCTGTCACACTGACTTATAACCCTGTCTTGTCCACTTCAAGCCTACCTCAGCTTCTCCCTCACACCCAGCTAAACTCCTCCAGTGGTTCTCCCTTTCCACAGCCTAGGGCAGGCCCTCTGTAACTACCATATCCTTTAGCCCTGTCTCCGGCTGGTGCATCCCTCAAAGCTCCCCTTCTGGTAACCCTGTGAAGATTCTGCCTATATTCCTAGCTGTTCCCTACTTGCCTGTGTTCACTCCTTGTGCCTTCAGCCCAGGTGTCCTTCCCCACTGCCAAGCCTGGGGGCTTCACATTTCAGGGCTCATCTACACTGCCTCCCTCTTGTCTTCAATCCCAGCTTGCACTACCTGACTACCCAACACTTCAACAATTTTCAATTAGCTGCTAAGACAAGGGTCTTTCTATTACCCTGCCTTGTCTATCTGTAATTCCTGGCAGCAAGCTCAATGCTGGCTAGGTGAGACCCACACTGGTTATATAATTTAGACAGCATGGGGTAGGCTCTCCTTTGGAATCTACACATCCGGGGCTTAGAGGACCCTGGTCCTCACCCACCAACTCTTCCTGTCCACCAGTAGCAAGTGGAGGGATGGTGTGGTGACCGAAGTGAAAGAAGGAGGCTGGCCATGGGCTAACGGCCTGGGTGGGGCCTTGACCTCATGCCTGCACCTAGTCACTATCAGCTTCCTCACCTTAGCCTGCAACCCGAGGACAGTCGGGAGAAGCCCCAGTTATGAACATCCACCCCACCCCCACCCCCAATGGGCACAGACTCTGCTTTTCTCTTACCTAATAAACATGCCAATGGCATAAGCCACTAGGAAGGCGTTGTCCACAGCTCCCAGTAACTCTTTGTAGTCATCTTTGTCTGAAAGCAGATGGGAAAGACACAAAGTTGGCTGGCTGGCTGCCCCCATGGGAGCCCCTTTCTCTCTCCAGGAGGGACTGGGGAGTGTACAATAGTGATGCACCCTATTCTTACCAAATGGACTCCAGCTGCACCATGTGGTGTCATTGAGATCGTGGGTATCATTATCGGGTCTGACCAGCTCTGAGCAGTTCTGGTGCAGGCGGCTCTGGAAGGCAATGGCACACATGGGTCAAGGGTCACATCATCCCATGGAGCCCATTCGGTCCAGAGAGAAGAAAGCAGCCTGGTACTCAATCACAAGCACCATTGCTTCCCACCTGCCATGCTCCCTCCTGCCAGCACCTCCTCCAACAGGGGTAGGCGGCCAAAAGACACTCATGAATGGAATCCACAGAGCCTAAAGCCTCTGCCTTCTTAGCTCACCCACACCAAGCAACAGTGCTGTCTGGAAGGTAAACTTAAAGGGAACGGGTAGGAAAACATTGCAGGAGCCATTGCTGAAGAGCCACCAGCAATGGGTGTCTGCCAGGTGGAAAGAGCAGTCCCAATGACCAGGGTAAAGGAATTTGGAAGGTGATTGTCTGAGGTCTGGAGCATCCAATTGCAGCACACATCTGCCAGGCCCAACATGTCCTGGCATTGTCCCTTAGTAACCAGTCTCACCTTAACAATGCTGATAGGCTTTCTGGACATGTGATAACAGGCATAAATGAGGAAGGTGAGCAGCAAGATGAAGCCACGGAACCTGGAGGAGAGAGGAGGGGCACAGTCTGCAGAGGCCCAGCTACAGCATCCCCAAGGCCTCAGCATCAACATTTTACCTCCAGGCTCTCTTCTAGACCCAAGTTCCCAGGGCAAAGGTCAGGAGTGTCTAGGAGCAAGGATCTCTGTTGGAAGCACCTCCCCTGCTCAGGCCACCGTCTTCCCAATCCTTAGCCCTTCTAGGGTCTCACTGAGGCAAGGCTGTCTCTGTGTCTGGATGTGTGGAACAGCTATGGTCACAGAGAATTGGAATCATCTTCTAAATGTTAGAAATGATGAGCATGAGATGAAGTTAAAGGGGAGAGAGGTCTGTCTATAGAGTGAGGTCCATATTCTCCTTGTGCTTGGAAGACAGCAGACTTATTTTAGACTATAGGAAGAGATGACTCAGCTGGGGCAGCTGGTGACAAAACCTGAGTCCTCTGCCTCATGGTCCCTGGCTTGTCAATTCCACTGCACAAAAAGATGGTTTCCTCTGTGGCTCACATACCCCGTGTACCCTCCCCTGCCCTATTTCTTATCTCATGGGCTGGCCAGATGGAAAGAGCAATCTAGTCAAGAGTCTCAAACTTTCCACAGCACCATACCCAAGGGTCCAGGCAGGATCCTGCAGGGCCCCCCTGAGTCACTGTTTCCCCAGCAAGGCATCAGCTGAGCTGAATCAGCAACCAGGAACCATGAGGCATATGGAAAATAGATCTCAGAATGGGGCTGAGGGTACAGCTCAGCAGAACACATGATTAGTGGGCTCGAGGCCCCAAGTTTCAACCCACCAACAAACAAACCATCCTGGAAGGAAATGTCAGACTCAGTGCCTCTGCTCATAAAAGAGAAGGGTCTGGGAGAAGTGTGAGCAGGCCCTGGAGCCCTCATCTCCCTTGGCTCCATGAACCTAAGGCAAACACTGGATGTTCATCCTGCCCTATCTGGTAATCTGCCCCCAAACTCTAAACTCATTTCCCCGAAGCATGTTAATTAAGCAATGCAGGTCACCTCTTGTGAAACAAAAGGTGTTTCTGCAAAGCCTTAATTGAGTTGAGCTACTGAACCCTGTCTCATTTCACCCTGGACTTTAGTTTCCTATCTGGGCATCAGTTTCTATTCTCTCTATGGTCCTGTATTTTTTCTTCTAAACCTTGGATGGTAGTGCACATCTGTTGTCCCAGAACTCAGGAGGCTGAGACAGGAGGAAATGGGAACCTGAGGCCAGCCTGGACTACATAATGAGACCCAAGCACTTCCTTGGCTACTTGTTCCCAAGGCAATTGTGTCAATCACACATGTCTTCTAGGGACTTCAGGGAAGCCAAGGCTACCCCAGATGCCTGCCTGTTCCAGTGACTGACATCAAAAAGCTTAATGACACCAAAGTGTTCCAGGTCTACCAATTGCCATGTAGCTGATTTCCAGTTCGGGGATTTCTAGAATTCTCTGAGAAAATCTAGAGAGAGAACCCAGCTAGACCAGGCAAAGAGCAAGAGATAGACAGGAACTGCAACCATATAGTTAACTAGGCTATTGCCTAATCTAGGGAAAAGCAGGCAGCTTTGAGTGACACTTCCCACTCACTCACCACGTAAGCCTTCTGCTTCTGGCTTCTTCAATTGTCATGGATAGTAGCATCAGCCTTACCCAGCTCACTCTCATCCTAGTCCCTGGGTACCTGTGGTGGCATCGCCTTTAAGTGCCACACAGCTCAGCTTCTGTGACCACTATCTTGGCTGATCACAAGGCCAGGGTCCTTGCCAAGATGTGTGGCCACAGTCACAACATATCAGATCCTTTCTGGTTCTGAAAGACCTTTAGGAACTCAAGTCCCACCGTATCCCCTAGGAGCTTAGCAGTGATGACTGGTCAATAACAGACCCTAGCGTTGCCTGGGAAGTTAGGCTACACCTCAGCAGACCCTCCAGATGCCTTGAGAGATAGGCAGAACCAAAGAGGCACTAGAGGGACAAGCCGGCTGTCCAAATCCTTCTCCTCTGACCTCAACTCCCAGCTTCCGTACTACTTTACTCCCACACACCAGGCACTTCCCAGGGAGGAAGGTCCAGCCCAGTTTTCCCTGGCATTCTCCCATCTGAGTTCCCAGGTGTTCATCCTTATCTGCTCCATGCCCCTTTCATCCAGAGTTCCATTCCTTCCAACCATGGGTAGGGAAAGCCGTTGCAGAAAACAGACATACTCATGTCCAAACCTAACATCCTGACATTCTTGGAAAAAACAAGACTGCTTTTGCATCCACACATGTACCTACCATGTTGCAGGCACCACACCAGGGATGTTACAATTGCAAGAGAAACGGGAAGAAAGATCCTGCCTTCTGGAACTCACAGGTCAGTGCGGGACACACACACACACACACACACACACACACACACACACGTATGGAGAATTGGGATGCTGTGCCATAGAAGCAGGAAGCCTTGTGTGACAAGGGAACACAGAGGGGACATCAAATCTAGCGGGATGGAAGTGGTGTCAGGAAAAGGAGATGTGGTTTCAAAACCAAGCAGGAGATGGCTAAGTCAACCAGGGCTGGACTAGGGGATGTGCCAGGGAACAAGCACCATGGAAGGCACAGAGGCATGAAATAACAGTTCCGGTTTGGGAACACTGCATGGCTTAGGATATCTGGAAGGGAAGACTGAGCCAAGCACAGAAGGAGAAGTGGCTGGACAAGGTAGGGCCCAGGCCAGGTAGGGCCCTGTGAGCCAAGAAGTAGAGTTTGGGCTATCTCTTGAGGACTAGAAACTTCAGAAGGGCTGGGCTCTCCTGGGCAAGGGTGCCACAGAGATGAGCCAGGTGAAATCTTAGAGAAGGCCCCTGTGGGCTTCCTCACTGCCAGGTGGTGTCAGTCCCTGTGCCTTCTCATCCTGTCAGCCACTTCAGGTTGCATGGCAGCCCCACAGGATGCCCTAGATTTCAAGTTCATGTCTACAGGGACAAAGAGTAAGGAATCAGGCAAAAGATAGTTTTATTCCCCAAACCTGTTAACTCCTCTGAGAAGTACTTATTCCACCTTGTTCATGGAACTACTGACAGATGTTTGTTATAGACCTTACAGCATTCCTGATACCCAGCTGACCCTTAAAAAAGGCCGGTACTATTTCAGATTAGCACATGAAGAAGCTGGAAGGACCAAAAGCAGCTCTTGCTGCAAGTACAACGGGGGTTCTGGGCCTTTATTTGCCTGGCAGGAATTAAGAGGCCATCAACCCCTCCTCCTTACCTCTCCAAGATGCCTACCTGAGTCTCCTAGGACACAAAGACCTGAGGTTGCTACTACCCTACCTCGTTTAGGGTGAAAGAGAGACTGCAACCATACAGGAAAGAGACTCTAGGTAGCTGAGGTTTTCCTGGGGGCAGACAGAAGGACAAGCCAGTCTACACTGGCATTCTGATCTGTGATTTTTTTTTTTTTCAGACCTGCTGGGGCCTGCCCAACCTAGATCCCAACCTCCAACAAAAAACCTGACCCCTAAGTCAGCAGGAAGGACAGGAACTTTACAAGCCAGGGTTCCTTGGCTGTGCTGTATGGTGTTAGCCTGCCACTTGTCTTCCTGCCTGGCCTCTAAAGGGTGGAAGGTTAAGCTCCAAGTCACAGCACTGGCTGGGCCCCAGCCTACTTGGAGCCAGGCCTCCTACTAGCCAGGCTCCTTTCAGGTGTTCATGGAAAGGGCCCCAGGGGCTGTCATTCAAAGGGGCCCAGGAACTTGGGGGTAGTTCAAGGGTGGGGATAGACTAGAGGTTGCAACTCAAGCTTACTCACAGGCCTGACAGCTGAGGACTCCAGCCAGGGCAGGACCTGCAGGTTTCACTTCTCACAAGCCCTTCCCTGAGGAACCAAGATGCCCCACAAGGGGAGCAGGGAGAAGACTTGTAGACTCATGAGGCAAGAGATGGCTGTTGTGATGCAGAGCTGAGCAGGACAGGCAATCCAGGGGCCAAGGAACATGAGGGAGAAGGCCCCCAGACCAATCCACGTGGGACTAGCTGCCCCATGACCCACGCTGAGGCTTTTTTAGCAAGGGGTGGTGCTTCTTAGAGTCCCTCCTCCTTCACCAGATGGTGGTTACTGATTAACCAAGTCAGATAAAGAGGGACCAGCTATCTCCTAGGAATTAGCTGACAATCCAACTCATTCTTTCCCAGGACCTCGATAATAACTTTATCAACTTCATTAAGACTTTATCAACTAAGAATGATACTGGGCTAGGAGCAGGGAACAATGTGTCCCAAAGTAGCAATAGATAATGAGCAAACACCACCCCTAAGAACCCCCCTCACCACCACCACAAGCCAACAAGACCCCAAGAGCAGCCTGATCTTTGGAGAGGTGGAAACAGGCCCCTCTCCTCAGTCACCCCTGATCGTTGCCTCTTCCACCTCTGCTCTACAACCATGACCATGACCATGAGACAATGGGGTTTAAACTCAGTCATTGATCACTAGACCTGCTTCAACCTAGGACAACCTCAAAGACCAACATTGGGATGTGGCTGCAGGTGACCTTGGCACTTCCCCTGAGGAAATGAACCTGGTGACCTGTTCTTTGGGTGTGCCTGTCCTGGGGTCAGCAGTTCTGAAAAGGATAGAGGGCTGGGTACAGTAACAACCAGACCAGGGTCAATGCGGACAGTGCCACCACCTTCACCCTCTACCAAGCCCTCCACCAACACTGGGAGATATCCTAATGGGGAAGGGCCAGCCAAGAACAGATACCCAAGGGCAGAGTCCTGAGTCATGCCTTCAGTGTACAAGCGGGAGCGTGGCCAGGCCAGGCTGGGGAGGCCCCTGAGGAGAAAGCTTCCTTGAGGCAGGGATCAGGACCATGGATCCTAGGCCTCTTATCCTCCTCCTCTAGCTGGCTCTATTCTGAGAGACAGAAATGACTTAGGGCTCGGTTAGCTAACAGGTGAATGTCCCACTCTTCGGAACAAAGGCTGCACATAAAGCAGGGATGGCAGTGTGCTGATGGCCA